GTCTTCGCCATCATTCTCCTTAATTCCGTGGAACAACAGAGCTTTTCTACGTTTCCGGCTCTCAGCATCTTCAAACTCCTTAACACATGCACTGATCTGACTGCGGAGCAAGCCCAGCATGCTATACATCAGTGTTCTGAAGGTCCGGAGGTCCTCTGCAACTTTAGCTACCGTTTCTTTGGCTGGTCCGGCTGACTTCATCTGACTCTTCAATTCAGCCATTCCAGTCGCGAACTTGTCCTCCAGTCTCAACTGAACAGTCAATACCTGGGCCAACTGTTCCTCCATCTCCGGCTGCTACTGTGGCTCAGTGATTCTGTGATTACTGTGGGTGCTAATGATGCTTAGTGTGATGTGCTGATGATGGGCTGGCAGGTGGTATCAGACTTAGGCTTTTAGTTACGTTAAAGAGCCACAATTGTAAATAAAAAAATAAAATAAAATAATAATAAATGGAATTTGTAAATAAATAAAATCCTTAACAAAAAACACGTCTGACACTTGTTGGCGCCTACCCGCGAATCTCACTCTCTACCCGCTAATCTCTCTACCCGCTAATCTCTCTACCCGCGAATGCTTATGGCAAGTTGTTTTGTCGTGGGACGAAAACGAAATAGATTTCACTTCTGTATTGCAAACTGTAGATGTCTTTTCAAACGAATGATAGAAAAATGAATGAAAAAAAATTACCAGATTGGCGATATATATAAGAAGGGCCAAATTAAAAGTACATATGACAGAAAAGCTTGGGCGATGGAGTCCCAGTGCACACTCTGTCTTTAAAGATATCGCCCGTAGGTTAATCGATTCTACACGTGACCAGAGGGCTGGCTATTTCTTCGAACAGAAAATAAGCATTGCCATTCAACGTGGCAATGCTGCCAGTCTTCTGGAAACGTTCCCCGGTGATAGTGATGCGGATGAATACTTTGACGGCTAAATTAAGGGTATAATTTTTGTTGTTTTCTTTTTTTTACTTCCGTTATATTCAATTCTTTAGTTGTAGTTAATTTTAAGTTGTAAATATTTATGTAATTAGGTACATATTTAATGATAGAATAATTACTAAGTAGACACCTAATTTACTTGGAGAGTAAAATCCTTTCAAAAGAATCTCTAGGTACATTGGCAGATAGTTTTTAATCATTGAATTTATGTAATATATAAAAGTTTTCCACCTAGTGATAACTAACTGAATGCTTATATCATAGTTTCCACATCAACACAACTATTGGGTTAAAAACTAATTAATCATTGGTTTAACAATTAATTTATATTTATTGTAGTTACAAAATGCGGTCACTATATTCGTTATTTAAAGCCGTTGTTTACGTGCGATCCATTTGATTAATTCTCGGTTTATTATTGTTAAAATAATGCGATTTCAACAAAAGCATTAAAGCCTTTAATTCCTCGAATATTTTTGGTACAAATAAGAATTTTCTCGATAAAAATTATCAGGATGGATGCGAGCCAACGTCCCATTTTTAAAGTGACTATAAAAATATTTACGACTCCGCACAAAAGATGAATTATATTGCAATGAATAAAAACAATGTTGACTTTATATTTTTCGTCTATCCTTTTTTTGATGAAATATGTTTTATGCGTAAATATCTATAAAGTTCAATGTAGATTGTTTGCTTCAATATTTTTTGTGCGATTTACGAATGGGTAGAGGGAGATGTTTTTGAAGATTCTGGAAAACAATGATTCTTTTTGTGAGCCGCCCTTACCTGGAATGGCTTGTACGATTTATGGGCATAATATACAGGAGTACGTAGAGAGTTAATGTCCTACGGCTTTCAGGACAAATAGTCATATTATACAGTGAGTTCCCGGCAGTTGTCTATACAAACACCAAGAGTGGTTATACGTACATATGTATTATGATGAGATGAGAGATATGAACGTAATTACTATTAACTAACTACCCTAAGATAATTCTGGAATGTATTGAGCTCGGATAATCATAATTATGATTAACGTTTGGTTGTAATGGAGTTAGGTATATTATGTAGTATAGATAGCAATCATATTTCATTGCAATAAATCAGTTCACTGTCATTCTCTTTTGTTAGTACCTACTGTATCTATTATTTCAGGTTTATCTTTGATAGGCCCCGTTTGTAGATTTGTGTTTTCCAATATACGAGAGGATAAAACTTAGTAGATTTTAGTTAAGATTCAAGATTGCAAATATACAGTTAAACTGAACATTCTCTAATTATACGAGGAAGAATATTGTACCAGATCCTTTTTATCATCGTGAAACTTAAATAATACGAACATGAATAAATATGTACAACTTAAAATAAACTAAAACTGTGACTAAAAAGATGATAAGAAACTAAAAAAGCCTACATAGATCTTTTAAGAAGAAGAAATTTTAAAGGATCTATTCCTTACAAATTTCTTTTTCGTAGCATTTATCTTAGCATTATCATCATTCCAAGTATGTTTTTACCACAACTGCAACAACTTACCGCAACTACATGTTTACACCTACAATTATTTATACAACAGCTATTTAATTCAAAGCCCAACAATAATAAAATAATTGAAAAACATGAATAAACGATAACAATGCATTACAATTGGGTTGTGGTTTTCGTTTTCATTTAAAATATTCAAAGTTGTGAACAACAAGCCAGATGAAAAGAATGGATTTATTTTTTGTTCGTTATTTTTTGAAACCTGTACATGACCTATTTAAGTGAAATTATAAGTACTTGACGTTTGTATATAATTATTTTCTAAGAAAGAATTTTTAAGTGTGTGAGAGCCATGCTTCGGCACGAATGGGAGTGATACCACGGCCTCACAGAAAACCGACGTGAAGCAACGCTTGCGTTGTGTCTCGTTGTGCAAGTGAGGTTACCGGAGGCCCAATTACTCTCCCCTTCCCCGATCTCCCCAATTCTTGAATCCCCAACGATCCTCAAACTCTTAATCCCCAAAAGGCCGGAAACGTACTTGTAACGCCTCTGGTGTTCCAGGTGTCCATAGGCGACGCCGATTGCTTACCATCAGGTGATCCGTCTGCTCGTTTACCGGCTTATGCCACAAAAAAAAAATCGTCTTTTATTCCCGGATCGAACTAGAAACGGTTGTGATCCGTAGTTGCATAAAGATGTTGTTCAGCCAACATGATTTGTACGTCAGAGTCTGTACCGTTTATAAAAGGCTATAAAGGGTCCATTTTGACGTAGGTACTAAATAATAATTTGTTGTATATTTTTACGAGTTTCTTAACTAATTATATTGTCTTCCTGATACCGCAACTGATGGAGCCAGATGTTCTCATTTCTCATGCAAATTGTTGTTTTATAGCAAAAACTTGCTTGAATTTGTTGTTTTTATACCGCCATATTCTTTAAGTTGAAATGTTGTAAGCCTTATTTTTCAGTAACTTTTGAACTGTTAGAAATTTACTTATGTTTTATAATGTACAGTGTACATTTTGGGGTAGATGTCTGTACGATTTTTTATGGATTTATTAATAATAATATGAGATCACTATTTTTTAATAGACAATGATAAAGATTCCTATTATTATTAGTATGGTACTTATCATCAGTTCTGTTATGACCTTCATGCTACAATAAAGTTACACCGTTTGTCCTTTTGTAGAGATTGCAATTTGTACCTATACTCAAATTTTCTGAATATGACAACATTTTAGGTAGGTATATTTGGTGTGTCATAGTAAGTATACACCTGCTTGTGTTTCGGGGAAGAGTAGAGCTGCTATATTTATATACAACACTCACTTTACAGAATATTAATAAGTATCAGTAATCTGTAAGTATATATTAATTTAATACAAGTAATTTTCGTTTTATCGTATCAAAATTCAATAAGTACCTAATACTTTCCTTTGTGAGTTCTGCAAGATTATTTTATAACATCAAATGTAAATAATAGTTCATTCAAACGGCTTCATTTTATTAAAGAAATGAAATCCTAACTATTGTGCACTATATTTCATTTTGTGAAGATGAAAGTCTTTTGATATAAATTTACCAATCCTTTTTAATTTGAAATTTTTGAATTCAATACCTAATATATGAAAAAGGATTTAGCAAGTAGATCCACATGCTAAAGCTAGTCTAACCATAGATATATTATCATATCAGTGAGTCTAACACAGAACAATAATGTTCATTAACTATTACACATATTTAGATAGACAGATACACATGTATATTTTTATTTATACAATAAATAGACACAATGAGACAAAACACGGTGTTTTATTACTTTAAAATCTTATGTAAAACGATTTGTATTGAACAAATAAGTGCGTCATGCAGAGCTTTTGTTCTCTACGTAAAATTAGGCTACTAATGTATATAAATGATAATTTTTATATTGACACAGGTGGTGAGAATAAACCTGGTTATTTATTGATGAGCGGAGCGGAAAATTATTGGGAAACCCGTAGTGGATAATGTCCTTGAAAAAAGTTACAGAAGTTTTCTAAGATTTTAATAGGAGTTGCTTGGAAGCTTGTATGTATTAATTAATTTATGTATTTATTTAGTTATTCATCTATAACTATGACTCAAAATATGTAGGTTAGTATTGATAATCTCTCGAAACTATTTTAGCACGATATAATCAACATTTGTATTTGAAACTATAAATAATCTAAATAGTTCTACATATTTCTAATCCATCTAGAACCTTCTAATCTAAAGATATTTTCCAAGTCCTACTTCAAATCTACCTACAGAATCAACTCACGTCTCCGTACTACTCTTTGATATTCAAAAAGCACTTTAAAATGCGTCCATTCTTAATAATAAAAAACGTTGTCGTGGCCTTTTGAGACTTCTCAGAAGACTTGCTTTTTCATTTAGATTTTCCGCTATTTTTCTTTTCGCTATTTACTCCGCTAGTCTTAGTACTATGCTATATAGTTGACAATATGATTGCTAAGTTATCAAGTATTTTACTTGGACATTTTCAGAAGAAGTTTGCACCTGACCGGCAAAATGAGACTGATATTTTAGTGAGTTATTTGTAAGATAATATTCAATTAGTTTTGCAATTATAGTTTCAAAGTTTCTCTTTTGTTTCAGTGTGCTCTCACTAGTGGTTTTAATTCAGTGTGAAAGTTTGTCCAAGCCGAATATAGTTTTCATTGTTGCTGATGATTTGGTAAGTAAAGTTACAATGTTGTCTTTCATTTTGGGACTGTGTTTAATGTTTTAATTTATGGGTACTTCATACTTATACGTATAATAAGATAGCCTGTCTCAATTACTAGATTATCAACTAGTTTGTTAAGGTCGGTTTTCAAAGTTTACTGGACGAAATGTCATGAAAGAATTTAAGCCGGTAGTAGGTATAATGCACGGTACACACCTTACCAATTAACTGTGTGGTTTACCTGTACAATATAGTGTGGGCTGTCTAAATCTACGATTTAAGTGTACAGTTCGACTGTACAATTAAAACAGAAGGTATGTATAGATAGGCCTGCATCAGAGGTACTTTACCTATACATCATAATATCTATTTCAAAGAGCAAATTTGTATTTAAAAAGTTATTGATTTTAAGTAATTAAAATTTAAATCACTTTTAGATGCCTATGAATTTGATAAGAGCTTAAGTTGTTGAATCTAGACACCGTTATTTAAGTAAAGCAACTAATCAAAAAGAAACTGTCTGAAATCTCTCAGTACCTAGAAGGCTTAATATAATTATGAAATTAATATTCCGCTACTCTTGGGAACGAGGTTATTAATAACCAGATATTTGGTTAATGTTTCAGCAATTATTTTTAACGGTAGCAGGTACTTATATTTATACATTTATTTGTTTATATCTAACCCAAAATTTTACAGTAAAATCGCTATTTACTTAAATCTGTCTAAAATATGCCCACCATTTACTGTGCCCTATTCTGTTTAGTTCGTTCATTACGAATTTTATATGTAAAAAGTTGAATAGTTTTATATTCTAGGCAATCTTTACAATGTTAAACTAATTTACCCAAAAAAGCAAAACCTCGCACCAAATAACGTTTCACCTCCAAACTTAAACAGCAACTTATTTCCATTTGCAAGTTTTTGGCGTAAATATGGCATACCTACATTATGTTATATAGTATATCGTTAACAGGGTTGGAGCGACGTGAGTTTCCACGGCTCGGATCAAATAATGACTCCGAACATAGACGTGTTGGCATACCAGGGCATCATAATACCGCAGTACTACACCGACACACGGGGAACGCCGGCACGGAGCGCGCTTTTCACCGGAAAATATCCTTTAAGGATGGGTACGTCTTAAAAGCGAATAAAGCGCTTTCTTATGCGATGCTCCCCTGAATTTATCTGTGTAATATTTTAAGGAGACTGTTTAGTTGCCTTTTTGGTAGCGAGTTATTTCGCTGAAAGGTTAATTTGGTTGTATATTCTACTAAGTTATTTATGGATCGTGTGAATTTGATTTTGAATCTTGTGAGAGAATTAACAAATCGTTATTCTCGTTCCATATCGCTTTTCAGTATCAAAATAAAACTAGAATCTGTTCAATTAAGCCCCTACTGAAAGGCCTCGTTACGAATTTAGGTAATTCTAAGTCTTCCCTATTGAAAATGTATGTCAATCGAATCAAAATTTTCCACATAGTGGATTGGCAACTAACTACGTTTACGAAAAGACTAATAAATTAAATTGGCAATTCGATGAATTTATTTGGGAAACCAAAAATATATTCTTGATGGAAATTAATCATTTGTAATTGTAATACATTAATATCATATCACTGTTTGTAACGTAATTTACTTAACGACTCACAGCTTATTTTGCTTTCATTTGTGATTTATTTCTTTGAAGTAGAGCTCTTGTTTACATACGATTTTATGTTATAGCAAATGAGTTAGCTGGAAATTAAAAATATATGGTTAGTTCATACTTTCGTTGTTAATATTTAAACTAAACTAGATTTGTTATGTTCGTCGAAGTGTGCTCAGGTGCTCAGACTAGTCTAGAAAAGTCAGTCTAGCATAAGGTTTTAAGCTTGATTCAAAGATCTCAAAAATAAAACCATTTTAGCTTGTTAGAGTATTATAAAATGATAGCATTTTAAAATGATGACTGCCTCGTTGGGCGAGTCGCAAGTGCGACTGCCGGGCAAGGGTCTCGGGTTCGATTCCCGGGTCGGGTAAAGTATTCCTGTGTTTTTAAAAAAACTCAGTAGTAGCACGGAGTTTGGAAATGTGCCCGGTATATGGCAATAGGCTCACCCCCTATTACATGGGACTCATAACATAAATAGTGAAAAGTGGGTGTGACATTGTACAGTGGCATTAAGTGCCGTAATGTGCACCTCTGCCTACCCCTTCGGGGATAAAAAGGCTTGATGTTATGTTATGTTATGTTTTAAAATGATATAAAATGTTGACAAACAGATATAATATGGTAATTACTAGTGTGTCTATTATACCAAATAACTGAAGTGTATTTGACTACTTTGCTAGAAAGAAACTAAATTACAATTTAATCTAAAGGTACTCAAGGAATTTCAATAGCATCCGCTGAGGACCGCGGCCTGCCTACCACAGAGGCTCTCCTGCCGCAATATCTTCAAGAATTGGGCTATTCCACACATTTGATAGGTAAATGGGGCCTCGGTAAATCCAGGGAACATTATCTACCCACTAATAGAGGCTTTGATACATTCTACGGCTTCTCTGGCAGTAGTGTGGATTACTATACGTATAATCACGTTGAGGTATGTACATATAGGTGTGTATATATTATACAGTTATACAGGTTGACTCCCTATTTTTTTTTTTGTAAGGGGGGAAAATCATCGAATGACTGCTCCCGCCTGGGTGAGGCGGAAGGGAGTGTCAGACTCTTACTGACTAAAAACCACCCCGTTCCTTCTCCTGCACGTCGAGCCGGAGCCCCGGTTACCCGTTAGGTTCTCCGCGACTTGACTCCCTATTAAGGCATAATCTTGTAAAGAGACATAACAAACATCTGCTGCATTTTCTTTTCTGTTTTCTTTTTCTATTTAGAAGCTGCCACCTAATTCGTTTTTTTTAAATTAGACTTGTTTGAATAACCCTCGTTTGGCAAACAGTTCAATAGGTACTAGTACCTAAATAGGTATAGGTATAGGTTCAATAGGTACTAGTAAATATTTTAATAATCGTTAAGAAATGCCTTGAACTGTAAGAGCTTGCGAGATTATGCGCTAGTATGGCCTAACCTATATATTGTATGTTTATGTTAAGGTATTTAGAGCACAAAGCATTGCGAAAAGAAAGAAAAGAAATCCTCTTTTGTTTGAACTAACGAATACGTAGCGTAGAATGTTCTTTATATTTTACTTGTTTTATTTAGCTGGCTTTAGATAGTGTGATTGTTTTGTGCGGTTTTAAACTATCAAATTTGTTATTTTTTTTTTACTTTTTTTAGTTTCTAAAAAGGGATATGTATCTGTTTCTATAATAACTATCGTGAGACATACTAAATTAACTAACAATCGCGGGTTATTAACGTAAAATACTGAGCAAAGCGCTTCTAGTTTCGAGCCACAGGGAAGTTCTTCCTCATGAGCAGCGTGCGCGGTCGCAGCGATGTCGCGCAGCCTACGATACGGATACGTATCTATTAAATATTAAAACCTATAAATAGATATCACATCCTAGCCATACTGTTAAAACTAATGACTTTATTGGTTTTGCTGCAAAAATAAGAAGGGTCTTTGCATAGAATTCAGATACAAAGGAAGATTTTTCTCGAAATTATAATATATATAACAAAACAATACACCCGAATGTAATATAATTATAAATATAATAATAATAACTTAAGTAACAAGTGAATTTATTTCTGTAAATAGGCTACAAGGCAGCACTATTACACGTCAATTTTATCAAGCGAACGATGAGGTCGACATTTCCTAACTGACTACTCTGAGAAGAAATGCCGAAACAAAATCACTCACTCAATTATAAGTATTATAACCCATAATTAATTATAACTTAAGTCTATATTACAAAATCGTAACAATTTTCACAGACGTGGAACGACACAGTATTTTATGGACTGGATTTTTTTAATAATTTGGAGCCAGTTGAAGATCAAAGGGGCCATCTGACTGAAGTGCTGACTGAACGAGCCGTAAAAGGTACGTACAAACGTATATACAAGGTGTTTTTAAAGTCACTTACTAGACTTTAAACTGAGTTTCTACTAAAGATAAAGTCTGTATTAAAGCTATTGTTAAACTAATGTTAAATGGGACTCATAACATAAATAGTGAAAAGTGGGTGTTACACTGTACAGTCGCGTTAAATGCCGTAACTTGCATCTCTGCCTACCTCTTCGGGGATAAAAGGCGTAATGTTGTGGTGTGTGAAATCGCCAATATGGTGACTTAGTTTAATTTATATACCTTTTTTATTTACAGATAATAAAAACTTGAATAAAATAAATACTAACTATTACTAAATTAAATAATATACAAATTAAGATAAAAATTATTTAAATTATATTGTCACCCACAACTTTAATCACACCCTATACATTAGCAGACGGGGTGCGGTGCCAGAAGACCTCCCCGTGGTGCACCCTGGGTGCGGGCGACAGTCTCCCTAGCGGGGGTGATAGGGTTGGAGTGACTGTCGCCCGCAGCAGACTTCTGGACTGGGCGGGCGAACCCGATAGGGTTCTGGAGGCGGCGGGCTGTGTGCGGAGGCTCATAGCCCGCGCTTCCGAGGGGCGTTTCTCCGCCCGTCTCTCTGGATATAGCAGAGAGCGTGGCGGAGAGGCAAAGGCGGTGCTCGTTGTGCACTCACCCTGCCAGCGAGCAGCATCGGGACACAAGCTGTCCCCGATTGCAGCCGTCGATATCGTAATCCGTAAGGAGATCACGGTCATGTTTTGTGACTCTGAACGGGACGAGGGTCTTGGCTTGGTCGCCCGGACCGCGAGGAAGATAACCTCTATAAAAAATTCCTCCAATACTAAGTTCTGGTGCGCGGCGAGAGTATGCATGGCTGAGGAGTAGTGTCAGTCGCGAGCGCACCCCCAGCTAGGGGACCAGTGGAACCTCTAGTTGGGAAACAAATAACACTTACCCAGGTACAGGGGGCACTGCCTGGGTGGACCGAATATTTCCCCCATACTCGTGGGAACTTTATGGAGTTGAACAAATAAAAAAAACCACACAACCGGAGGAGGAGAGTGCGGGTGAGCTTGGCTCGCCTGCAGTAGCAGGAGAAGGGAGCCCAAGTGGCTCCGGGACTCGTGGTGAGGCGCTGGACTCGTCCAGCAGGCCCCACACACGGGAGTCTAGTCGGAGGGGGTCGGACTCAGAGTCCGACACAACATTGGCGGAGCGGCTGAGCGTGAGCTCGAAAGGCTCACGCCGCCGCGCGACGGGGACGTTCAAACGCCCCAGGCTGGAGGAGGACAGTTTGTCCCCGTCCTCCGGCGCTCAGGAGGCGCCTCCCCCCAAGGTCCCCACGGCAGCGCGGGGTAGGGGCGGCAAGGGCAGCGGTCGCCGGAAACCGGCACCAGCTGCCTGCGCGGAGTCAGCCGAGCAGCTGGCCGCGGAGGGCAGGGCTCTCTCAAGGCTGCCCGTTCGGAGTCCTCTGCGGCCGAGATGTCCGGCGTGGAGATGTCGGAGGGCGAGCGCGGCTCTGAGAGCGAGAGCTGCTCCGGGGGCCTCCAACAGGCCATTACGGCGGAGCTCTACAAGCTGGCGATGGGGAAATCCCAGCCGGTTAGGCTCCGCCTCCTCAGGCGGCGGCGGCCACATAACGGAGGCGGCCTTGGAGCAGTGTGCGGTGCCCACTGCGGGAAAGGTGCGCCGAGCTGGCCGAGATGCGGCGAGAGCTGGCGCGCTTGGCGGCCTCAATGCGGCTCTGGAGGCCGAGCTGCGGACGGCCAGGGCCGAGCTCGCCGCTGCTCGCGGCAGTCGCCCCCAGCCCCCGGCGGAGGCCGACGTAGTCGGACTGCTGCGGGCGGAGATGGCTGCCTTCCAGCGACGTTTCGACGTGCTGGAGGGCAGGCTCTTGCGCCCCCCACTCGCGCGAGTCAGGTCGCCCCCGCGGTCCCGCGGTCGTACGCGGCCGCTGCGGCCAAGCCTTCGACCTCGGGTCAGGCTAGCCGCAGCTCCCAACCGCCGGCAAGGCGCGACCGGCTGCCCCAGCGAGGGCCTCGGCGCCCCCGCCGGCGCAGACCCCAGCTGCGCCGACGGCGCCAGCGCCCGCAGGGCGCAAGGAGAGGAGGGCGCTCCAGCCCGGCAGGCTGGAGTTGCGGCAGCGGGGTGGAACCCGCCCCGCGAGAGGACGGCGGGCGGTGGCAAATCGCCGGCGAGGCGAGGAGAGTCGCCAAGGAGGGCCGGAAGCGCCCAAAGGCGCAGCGGCAGCGACGGCAGCAGCAGCGCAGGGAGAAACGCGCTGCTGCCTTGCTCCTCGCCCCTAAGACCGCGGCTGTAGTGATTACGCTGCAGCCGAGGCGGTCAATAGGGGCGTCACTTATGGCGACGTCCTCGCCAAATTAAAGGGGGCGGTATCTCCTGCGGAGTTCGGGGCCCGGACGGGTTCGCGGTCAAGGTGACCGCTACCGGAGCCCGTCTTTTGGAGGTCCCCGGCGCGACCAGCGGCCCATCGGCCGACGCCCTGGCCGAGAGGCTTAGGGCGTGCCTCGGTGCGGACGAGGCCCGCGTGTCCAGGCCACCAAATGCCTGGATGTCAGGATTTGGGCCTGGACGACTCCGTCACGGAGAGTGAGGTGGTGGCCGCTGTGGCCAGGACGGGAGGGTGCCCTGCTGACCAGTTCAGGCAGGCACCATCCGCCCGGACAACTCGGGGCTGCGCACGGTGTGGTGAGCTGCCCCGTCACAGCGGCCAAAAGCTGAAGGAGGGCAAAAGGCTCTTGGTGGGATGGGTCTCGGCGCAGGTCAAGCTGCTCGAGACCCGGCCTCTGAGGTGCTACCGCTGTCACGTGGGGGAGCACGTGAGTGTCAAATGCACCTCGGAGGTGGACCGCAGCGACTGTTGCTTCCGCTGCGGTCGGCCCGGTCACAAGGCCGGCTCGTGCCGCCCCGCTGCACTGCAATGCATGTGCGGCGGCTGGCAAGCCGGCCAATCACCGGGTCGGGAGCAAGGGCTGCTCCCCTCCGCCAAAAAGGGCAAAGGTAGGCCCTCCGCCGCCCCTGCCGTTTCCGCCGCCGCCGCCGCCACTGCCACCGCAGTCGCCGCTGCCGCCACTGAGGAGATCGGAATGGACTGCCAATAATGGCCCCATTCCGCCTCCTCCAGGCGAACATCAACCACTGCGCCGCTGCTCAGGATCTCCTGCTCCAGAGCATGGCGCAGTGGTCGATCAATGTCGCCGTGGTCTCCGAGCCGTACTTTGTCCTGCCCAGGGATCACTGGGTGGCGGACCTGGACGGCTCGGTGACCATCATCTCGTCGGCCGCCGCCGGTACCCCGACTCTTGAGGCTGCTCAAAGAGGCCGGGGTTGTGTCGCAGCACGGTTCGGAGAGCTCGCTGTGGTGGGCGTGTACTTCTCTCCGAACCGAACTCTCGCCGAGTTCCACAACTCCTTGAGGGAGTTGGTCACTGTCGTCGTCGGGTTCCGTTCCCTCCCCGTGCTCGTCCTCGGGGACTTCAACGCCAAAAACTTGGCTTGGGGTTCCCGGTTCACCGACGTCCGGGGTAGGATGGTGGAAGACTGGGCCCTTGAGACAGGCCTAGTCGTCCTGAACCGGGGTTCTGTCCCCACGTGTGTGCGGATGCAGGGCGAGTCGGTGGTGGACATTCGTTCGCCAGCCCTGCTCTGTCACCGCGTATTGTTGGCTGGCGCGTCATGGAGGAGGTGGAGACGTACTCCGACCACCGGTATATCCGGTTCGACGTCTCCGCCGAGTCCGCAGACCCGCCGGTCAGACAGGCCCCATGTGGCCCGCGTTGGGCGCTGAAACAGCTGGACCGGGAGCTGCTCCTGGAAGCCGCCATCGTGCAGGCCTGGGTGATACCACCGGTCAGGCCTGCCGACGTTGACGATGAGGCCAAGTGGCTCCAGGACGCCATGTCCAGGATCTGTGACGTGGCGATGCCCCGGATCCGGTCGAGGCAACAGAAGCGCCAGGTGTACTGGTGGTCGCAAGAGCTGGCGGCTCTGCGCAAGGCGTGCACTACTGCGCGACGCCAGTACACTAGGCACCGCAGGCGCCGTATCCGTCCTCCTAATGCGGAGGCGAGAGAGGCGGAGTTATACGAGGGATACAGGGCGGCGAAGGCCCTCCTCAAGGCGGAGATATTGCGGGCCAAGGAGGAGGCCCGCCGAGAGATGCTGGGGACTCTGAATAGAGACCCGTGGGGACGCCCGTACCTGATGGTACGCGACAAGCTCCGTGCTTGGGCTCCCCCGCTCACTCAGAGTCTCCGGCCAGAAGTCTTGGAGGAGGTGATTGGCGCCCTGTTCCCCCGACTGTGGAGGGGCTTCACCCCTCCGTATATGACTCCGCCCCCTGCGGTGCCCGACGCGGGCTACAGCGACGACGACGATGACATCGTCCCAGAGGTGACCGAGGCAGAATTGAGAGCGGCGGTGCGCCGGATGGGCGCCAAGAACACCGCCCCAGGACCCGACGGCCTGCATGGCAAGGCATGGGTCCTGGCCTCAGAGGCTCTCGGGCCTCGATTGATTGGTCTCTACAGCGCATGTCTGGAGAGAGGCCAGTTCCCGCTTCTCTGGAAAGCGGGCAAACTGGTCCTCGTGCGGAAGACGGGGCGCCCTGCGGACTCTCCGTCCGCGTACCGGCCCATAGTGCTGCTCGACGAGGTGGGGAAAGTCTTCGAAAGAATCATTTCGAACCGCCTCGTCGCGCACCTGACGGACATTGGGCCGGACTTGTCGGACGGCCAGTTCGGCTTCCGCAGAGGGCGCTCCACGGTGGACGCCATCATGCGCGTTAGGGACCTCACGACGGGGACTGCAGTGTCCAGGGGTAAGGTCGTAGTGGCGGTGTCTCTGGACATCGCCAACGCCTTCAACTCCCTGCCCTGGAGCTGCATCTTGGAGGCACTCCGATATCATCGGGGCCTACCTACCTCCGTCGTGTAATCGAGGCTTACCTGACGGACAGGTCCGTCAGCTACCCCGGTCACCGGGGCGAGTGGAACCGGCGAGAGATGTCACGCGGTGTTCCACAGGGTTCGGTTCTGGGGCCGCTCCTGTGGAACATCGGCTATGACTGGGTGCTGCGCACCGACCTCCCGAACGGCGTTAGCACAATATGCTACGCCGACGACACGCTGGTGCTAGCGCACGGGAGGTCGCACCAGGCGGCGGCCGACTTAATGGCGACAGCGGTTGCGACAGTCGTTGAAAGAATCCGGCAGTTGGGACTCGAGGTGGCGCTCCACAAGTCCGAGGCCATGTGTTTTCATGGCCGCGGGAACGCGCCACCTCCGGGTGGGTCCCAAATAACGGCGGGAGGGGTTACCATCGGCGTCGAGACGGCGATGAAGTACCTAGGACTCGTCCTCGACAGTCGGTGGAACTTCATAGAGCATTTCCGACGTTTGGCTCCAAAGTTGGAGAGGACGGGGGCTGCGTTCAAACGCATCCTCCCCAACCTCGGGGGGCCAAACGCCTCCTGCCGGAGGTTATACGCCGGGGTCGTGCGGTCCATGGCCCTCTACGGCGCCCCTGTTTGGGCGCCAAACTTGTTGCGGCGTCCTGCTCGGACGCTGCTCAAGTCACAGAGGGTCATGGCGATCCGAATGATCCGCGGATACCGCACGATCGCTGGGGAGTCGGCAAACCTCCTTGCCGGATTACCGCCGTGGGATCTGGAGGCGAAGGTGCTCGCGCGCGTGTATAACATGCGCGCGGAGGCACGTCGCCGGGGCGAAACTCCGCTGCCGCGCCAGATAAGTGCGTGGCGGGATGAGCTCCGGCGCGATCTCATGGCGGAATGGCAGCAACGACTGTCGCAACCGAGGGCTGGGCTCGCTGCCATTGCAGCGGTAAGTCCCCTCTTTGAGGAGTGGCTTGATGTTATATAAAGTATTTATTGCTAGTACTAGATAAATTGAAATTTATTCACTATCTTTGTATGAACTGGAACTGTCGTTTGATCGAATTCGATATCAGAAAATTACATGCTGATACTTCACGTAGGTACGTAACTGTTTTTGAAAGAAAAATAGTAAAGGTTCTTCACAGAAGGATCTTTAAGGAAGAAAAAAAAATTACAATCTGTCAGATATAAGATAATGTTATCCTACATTGGAAAACAAGAATATTTTATTCCATAGGATAGAAAACGTTTTAATAATAAATAACGAGGACTTTATTAAAATTCTTTAGCTTTTGAATGGTTTTATAGCGATATTTAAGAACTTTGATTAAAGCAGCAGCCACAATTTTCCACACGGTTAAAAATAAAATATGATATAAGGACTCCATAACATCGCAGTTGGCAAATAAAGCGCGATTCTATTTGCATGCATTGCTGTGGAACAAAGAAGTGCGCATTTTTGTCCCGAAGAAGTTTATCAGTGAATTGCCATCAGGGATGGCACGTTGGCAGCGTGCCAGCCTGCGTTCCTAACAACTTTATTATGCATTACCGGGTGCGCGTCAACCCTAAATAAGCAACAGTTCACTTGCCAAGTTTTGGGTTTACATTTTCATTAGATGGCGGTCTGTCAACGCGTGTGTGATATTAGAGCATAATTTGCGATAACAACGGCCCAAGATTTTGAACGAGAATTTTGATTAATAAGTTGCTGGTGTAGGTCAGGGGTGGCGAAACTTTTTGAGATAAACGTGCAGACGACACAGGGATTTGAGTTGGCAGCATTTCTGCGGAGCAAATGACGAGAATATAGATAAAGAAATGGTCCACTAAAGGATTCGTGCTAAAGTATGTTTTGTTTCGTGAGGGGAGGGACCCACAAGAGCATTGAACAGTTATTTTTCGAATCTTCTTATTGACTAAATACATATTGTTTATACGGTTTTTTTATTATTTTTTTAAGGGGGGAAAATCAGCGAATGACTGCTCCCGCCTGGGTGAGGCGGAAGGGAGTGTCAGACTCTTACTGACTAAAAACCACCCCGTTCCTTCTCCTGCACGTCGAGCCGGAGCCCCGGTTACCCGTTAGGTTCTCCGCGACATTGTTTATACGGTAGCATGAAGATTGAGCAAGCGTGGTGATTAATGCTCAAACCTTCTTTTTATGAGAAAGAGGTTTTACTCAGCAGTGGGCATTTATAGGCTGTTGATAAAGATGAAGATTGTCTTTGACACAGAAACTGAGCTGACCTTTGTCGTTCATTATCAAACTTAACATTATACCATAATAATTTCACGCATAATTACATTACAAGTAACGATTAACACACGCAATGTTTGGTCAAATTATAATTAGATTATTAGAACTAATTATACGACATCTGTGTTTGTTGTATAACGGTATTGAAGGTTGAATATTTTTGATAGACAGGTGTTAGGTGATGACATATTGTAACCTTCATACATATTTTAGTAATTGATGAATCTTTTGTTTTGTGGTCACGGCAACAGACTGATGAGTGAGGTACACATCATCATCACCACGACTTTCCTCTGCACCTCTTATTCTTCACACGTTGCAGGCGGGCTGGAGTTCGCAGTTTACAAGGTTCATGCTTAAATAGGAGTGTTACTGCCTGATATCTGTTAAAATTTGTAGTCCCTTTATCAGCTTTCGGCTCGAAGTTGGACTTTCAGACCTCATTTCATATGACTGAACGGTTGGCACGGTGACTGAAGAACTTGGCGGAAGAACTCTTTGTATAATCTACAGATAGTTGTTTCGTGTCTGGGTGTCATATGTAGGTGAACTTGTAGGTTTGTAAACGCACCCACGACACAGGAGAAAATAATAGTGTTAAAAAAAGATTGGTCGATTAATACAAGTGTCTAACTTGGAGACCAAATTCGGATTGTGATGTCTGGCTGTTACGAGTTCAATACAACTACTAAACCATTTACCTAGGCAGTCAAAAGCTAATACGACAAACAGACACCTGAGCTCTAATATACCTAATTAGATAGAGAAGAAGTAAGTTTGTACAACATTTCAATTAACTATTACTTTCTTCCAATACATAATAAATAGTTACCTTGACCTCTAAAAGACGGCTTATTTAAATATACCTCGCTCGTGTATTAATAATGTTACTCGCACTTACATAATATGTCTAGCCAAGTAATGATATTTTAGTTAATATTCAGAATATTTTGGAGAAAAAGTGTTATTGGTATACAAATATGATGGTAGGTAGGTAGAGTAATAAGGATTTTTTTCAGAGGGGAAGAACTTTCAATGACTTGCCCCGCCTGGGTGAGTCTGTAAGAGTCTGTTCTTAGTGACTAAAAACCTCCCCGTTCCTACTCCTGCACTTCGAACCGGTGCCCCGGCAACCCGTTAAGCTCTCCGTGGCTCGGTGTCGGCATCAGCCCAATTGGGCCCCATCTATGATGTTCTGATGGCTCCTTGAGGCGCGTACGGAACGCGACGCGGCGTACGCTCGGGCCTGAGAGTTATAGGGATAGAAAACCTATTTCGAATATTTTCATTAACAGTTATACTAAATAGAATATCATGACTTATTTGGCATCATGCCTATTATTGTAAATGTTGGACAGTGACCCTACTCGTTATATGTAGGTAATGCCTTAATAATTGGCAGAGATGCACATTTACCATAACACCTAGTTTATACAAAAAAAATAAAAACTCCATGTTATAAAGGGTGAACCTATTGTCACATTTTGGGCACAAACAAAAGTCCAAATGTTAACCATACACATAAGGAATAGTCATCGACATCTCTCTACCTGTCTTCAACTCCCAGTAACAAAATAAAGTTGTAATAAGTCTTCAGTCACATTGTCTGATTGTAAGTTGTTCATTCTTGTTAGAATTTCTCGTAAATTCGTTTTCGTCCTCTAGTTAGAAAGTTTTGTGGGACGTGGGAACACCTTACCGATTCCTTTGAACATTCACAACTCGTAATAAAATTTGTGCATTTTAGAAAACCGCAATAACCTATACGTGAGAATATGTGTGGAATATGGAAGTTTTCGCTTTGCCACGAATACTAAAGTTGTTGGACTTTTTATCACTTTTATGTATGTATGTTCTCTCTTGTAGTTCGTTGGTAGGCTTCGTATGTCGGGACTGAATACTGATGTGACAAATTTTGTCTGTAATGTTATAGTTGTCCTAGTATTATATTTATTTTAGTTTTGAAAAGGAATACATACAAGATGGTTGTGTACATTATTGCCAAATCCATCAACTGTAGCAGATTATTTAATGCATCCAAAACTTAGTCGGATGACATAGGTCTGTATTAATCATAGATAATGTCTTTTCTCATAAAAATGTTGTTTCTTATTTGTTACTAAACCATCAATTTAACAATTAACAAGCAGCAACACATTTTGTATTTCGAATAAAGTTATCCAATACAAAAACGTCCCAATAGATGAAATTATCAATATGAATTCATTATTAACATTTAAATAATAATAATAATAATAAAGCCCGCAGGGCACCTTGAGGCGAGGAGCCCGCAGGGCACCTTGAGGCGAGGAGCCCGCAGGGCACCTTGAGGCGAGGAGCCCGCAGGGCACCTTGAGGCGAGGAGCCCGCAGGGCACCTTGAGGCGAGGAGCCCGCAGGGCACCTTGAGGCGAGGAGCCCGCAGGGCACCTTGAGGCGAGGAGCCCGCAGGGCACCTTGAGGCGAGGAGCCCGCAGGGCACCTTGAGGCGAGGAGCCCGCAGGGCACCTTGAGGCGAGGTGACGGGCATTAGCGATAGCCCGCAGGGCACCTTGAGGCGAGGTGACGGGCATTAGCGATCCCGCGGGCTACCATCATCCCGAGTGCTCCAGGGAGAAGTCACCGTTCCTTCTTCTCCGGCTTGCCTTAATTGGCTGGCTGGAGTGAACGATGACAAGGAACAGGTCTCCCACCTCTGGCTTGCCTTCATTGGCCGTCCAGAGTGGAGTCGCGAGAGCAGTGATCCTGCTCGGAGGGTAAGAAACTATTCGTAAGTCGCGAGTGGGCCAGGGATGCAGGAAGCTTCGGCTGGAGCAGATGATCTGAGTAGAAAGCGGTGGTAGTTTCTTAACCCTTCAGCCACTCACATTCTCGTTGCCCCTCTGTTGCTATATCTAGCAGCCATTCCCGGGGCCCGGTCGGTGAGTTGGCGAGTCTCCGCCTGCCATTTTTACGTGTAATAATTACATTGTTTCGGCAGGTGCCATAGTCATCCATAGTTCCCAATTTTCCAGTCCACAGCAACCCATCCATAGTCCTATCTTTTTTTTCCATTATCCTCAATAGTTTTACACTAACCGGAGACTGTCCTTGGGTGCATTTCCATAGTGCATACAGGGATAGTCGCCGGTTTGTGTGTCCATTACATTTATATATTAAAGTTGTCTAAAGGGCCTCTGCGCAGTTGGCTTCGGCCCCTCGCATGCCTCCCAAATGACCGGGACCCTGTGGTCCCGTGAATGGTAAAGACATACAATAATAATAATAATAATAATATTTATTCAGAAAGGTGGTTACAGTTTACTGTTTCACATTATGACTTATACTTATAACAGTTATTCTACAACTGACAGAACGAGCATCCGCGACCGAACTAGGCGTAAGCCTGTATCTCGGCACGTGGCGCCCATTTCCCGCCTTAATAAATAACCAAAAAAAGCAATTACAATAACAAACGTTTAAGAGTATCACAAAGACCAGTTAAAAACAAAATTACATACCGCATTAAAAAGAAAGAGAAGGAAAAGTAAGGTATAACTATCACCAATATATAGGAATTTGTCTATTTTGTGTGTGTGCGTGTGTGTGTGTGTGCGTGGGTGTGTGTGCGTGTGTGGGTGTGTGTGTATGTGTGTGTGTGTATGTGTGTTGTGGTGTATGCTTGATACTTCCTGGTATTAATTAATATGAGAAGGTGCAATCATCCTGCAGCTGCAACGATATACAGTAGATTTATATCATTACTTGGATGAGTTTTTCAGTATCATCGTAGGATAAAGTCAGTAAAAATGCCTTCACCGCTCTTTTACAGTGAAATTTATTTAGACTGAAAATGTTTATGGCTGTGTTAATTTTATTATACACAAGAGGTGCCAGAAAAACGTAAAATTTTCTAATGAAAGCTGTTTTAGTGTGATGAGCGCGGATTGCTATGTCATATTTCCTGCGTTTATTTTTTAGTTTGGAATCATAGGTAAGTTCACCATGCTTCCGCATGACAATATTAAGTATAAACAGTTGTCTCACTGTTAGCACCTCGCAGGACTTGTATAAAAGATT